TTTGCACACTTTCTTTTTCGGCTAAAAGAAAATTGTAAATTAAGATAATTCCAAATAAAAAGAGCACGAGTTTTTAAAAAGTTTCAAATAAACATTTTTTAAAGTAATAAAATTAATAATTTTTATAGGTGTAATAAGAAAAAGTGTGTTGCTTTTATCTAATGTATGTAATGAGAAAGTAAAATTGACAAAAGTTGAGCTTACAAATGTTAACAATTTTTTTAAATATGGCAGGAAGTGTTTGCACAATCCAACTTTAATTACTATAATTAAAACAGGAAAGCTCTTACCATCAAAAATGTTGATCAAGCTTCGAGGGGATGGACGGTCTATTGGGTCATGTAACCAGCATTGGGCAATAACTCTATCCCAGACCTCTTCCAGAACCACTTTAGCCTCTGGAGCTAATGCTGCACCTTCATCAAGAGTGCTGTTATCTGATTCTTGCACAAACGTGTCTATGGCCTTGGGTTTGGGGATACATTTATCCATCAAATAATCTTTGAGCTGAAAAAAATAAGTGAATAATACCTTTACATTTTTCCTGATTCTGATTTTAATACAAGTCAATTTAAAATAAGTACACAATGCATAAAAAATGACATGATTCCTTTTTTCATTCTTAATTGTAATATATTGGAGGGGATTTCCTCTAACACAATTTGCAGTTTGTCCCATTGACTCTGATTTCAGCCAGCTTTTCTTTCTGGTTTTGCTTCCATAGACTTTTTCCAGCCAAAAACAATCTGCAAGACGGCAGTTATTTGATTTTGGAGTTTTCTCTCCTAGATAGTCTGTCTCCAGCTATAAAGCCTCATATGCAACAACCCTCATCTTCCCGGCGTCCAAACTTGGGGCTTTTGTAGTTTGTAGTTATGCGACCACGCCCTCCCCATTTGTTTAAATATGTACAGATTTAGTTTGCTATTTTAAAAAACTTCTAAGGATAAAGACAGCTGTTAATTCATCAAGTACCCTTTGACAATTTATAGGGCAGATGAAGTTTCTGTGGTTTTGATATATGAAGAGATTCTGTTGTCTGTACAATGCCGAGCAACCTTTACTTTCTTAAAGCCAGGTACACATCAGTCCTGAGTGAAATTAGTGATCAACCTTCATGCATGAGCCAGAAAAACAGTATAATTGCTTTAGATTAAAGCTGTGTCATAAAACTCACTCCTAAACTGAGCTTAGATTTACTCTTAAAAATTATTTTATTTAAATTTCCGACACAACATTTTGCCTTTTGACCTACAACTCAAACAAGCACATGTTAAATATATTTTACATGACAAAATTTGTTGGGATCAAGAACAATCAAAAATAGTTTAAACAAAAACTTAAATGTTACAAGGCAAAGTGCTGACCACACTATCCTTTCATATGCCGAGGTCAATAAAACAGGTGAACCGTAAAGTTCGGAAGTGATACCTAACTTTTTTTAACAATGCGTGCATATATTATAACTAATAAAATTAAGAAAATACCTTTTTTTTTTCAAAAGCAACTTACTTCTTTACAACTGGTTAGATTGAGTTCTACATGGAACTGATCATTGCGGTAAATCATCTCACACAGGGTGGTACCCACAGCATAACACTCAGACTCGTAGGTTATTGTGGCCAAGTTGTTTCTTCTCTCTGGTGACAGCCAGGGGTATCTGAAATGGTTTTTAAATATAATAATTTGGAGAGTAAAACAAGCTTATACAGTATAAGAGGGTAGGCATCATTAATTTAAAACCTGTGCTTATTATACAGTTCATCATTGTAAAAATTATGCTTCAAATAATTCAATAAATAAATACATTTTCATTATTGTTTCAATTTTTAAAACACATTTTACTTTGCGTTCCGTACTTTAAATACATTGTACTTTATGTTCAGTGCTTTAAAAACATTTTACTTAATGTTCAATATTTTAAAGATTTTACTGTTTTCACAGTCATTAAAACACATTTTAGTTTGCGTTCAGTACTTTAAAAACATTTTACATTGTGTTCAATATTTTAAAGATTTTACTCTGTTTTCACAATTATTAAAAATACATTTTACTTCATGCAATCATTAAAAAAAAAACCGCATGTAATAGTGACACATTCTTAGGGCTTGATGTAGCTCACCTATCAATGTTGTTGACATCATCAGGTAAGGAGTCCAGGTAGGAGGAGATACCAGAGTGACCTAATTTGATAAGCGCCTGATCCAGTGGTTTATTTTGAAAGACCATAAATCGTCGAAGTCGGATACTTCCGTGGTACAATTTATTTTCTTTCTAAAATTCAAAATTGATAAGTAAAATCGATTAGGCATCTTAACTAAATAAGAGGATTAAAATTCCTACCAAGTTTGCATAAAAGATAATGGAAAATATAACTCCTGAGGCTAACAATATTTAAAATGTGCAAATAGGGCTGCAGGTGCATTTTCCAATTGCACCTTACACTTTTTTTAATTCTCTAAAATTTGTTACATAATGTTAACTAAGACATCAACATTTTAATTATTTGTTTCATGATCTCCACTCACCATGACATCCAAAATTTTAATAATCTGATACATGATCTCAACTTTTTGTTTGACAGTCTGGGGGTGAGTGCAGATGAAGGTCAAGAGGTCACTGTGGGGTGCATATTCCATTAGAACACACATTTTCTTTTCCCACAATACCCCATAGAACTTGAGGAAGTTAGCAGGTTTGCATTTGTGAAGCTTCATAAGGTCTTGAATTCCACCTCTGAAAGCCTACAGAGAAAGAAGAAAGTCTGTAACTACAAAAGATGATTTGATTTGAACACATTTTTAATCACGCTAAATCAGTTATCATTTGGATGAATTTTAATTTTTTTGTAATGAACATAAATTCTACTAAATATTATAAAAAAGGTTTTTGAAAGTTATAATATGTGATCTTTGTGGTTTAAGTATTAGGAGCGCTCATTTTTTTTTTTTACACTTTTGTTAATGGGTTTTTAGCATTGGTGGTCATTAAAACCTGAATCATAATATTTTCACTATGTGGGTGTACAACATTTTTATAACAAAGTTTGGAGAATCTAACAATTATAAACAAGAAGCACAGAAAAATAATTTTAAAATAACATGTTATCGTATACAGTATAATCTAGCGATAAATACTACACTATAGTACTTTAAGTACACACTAACTGATAACTTTTTAAAAGGAAAACACAAGTTTAGGAAGAAATGTTAGTTACATATCATAGTTAGTTTTCTGCTTCTTTATAATTTTCAATTATTTTTGTGTTCTCGATTACAGTAAACCATTGGTTTATTTTTAAAAATAATCATCTAGTATGATATGCGAAAGTGTAAAAAGATTTTATTTATAATATGATGATACTGCTAGCATTTTACATGTTAAATAGCTTATAAAAATTTAATTAACAGATGGGTATCAATAAAAACAACAATATACGCTATTCTGTAATTTAATGAAATAACCACCAACCCCAGATAGACAAAATACTAGACTATATAAATGCCTATATAATGTGATGGAACACCATGCAGGGGAGAACACCAACCTCAGCCATTTTACCATCCTCTGACTGCAGTTCTAGCAGAAGCATCTTCTGACTTTTGATCACCACTTCATATTTTTTTATAAAAGGGTTCTTGTCTGGTAACATAAAAATATGAAACTTGTTATAAGCTGGTGGTAAAAACATGGTAAAAAATAGTACAGTACATTAAAAAGGTTAGACATATATAAAATGCATTTAGAACCTAGTTATTCGAGGGTGATAATTTGTTTTAAGGAAAAGTGTCAGAGAATACTAGTAAAACTATATAATGTTTTGTTTGTATGTAACTCAAAGAGTTCATATCTTCAGTTAATACAATTTTTTTTTAATTGTATTAAATTGTAGCTCATCAATTAATTACATAGTTTTTCAATTACCCCTTTCAAGGATTGGCAGAAGGCTACATTTAAAACTGTCACATTGGTAATGATATCCACACAAAAAGACAAAGCCTTATTTTTGTTCATTTACAAACCCTTGTGGCCATTTCAACAGTATGTATTTTAATTAGTGTTAGCTAGCAAATTCTATGACAGAACGGATCAGATTCTAACAATGGGTGCTTAGAGTTAGGCAGAGACTTTTCTCATCCACTACACAGGGTGTAGGGAAGCAGAAGATAGAGTAATAATTACAATCACATGCATCTATACCATTCCCAGCAACAGACTTGCATAGTCTGAATCTTTAAGATTCCCCACAAAAAAAGGTGCAATAACTGAATGAATTTCCCACAATAAATGTGCATCTTTATAATTCCCCATAATAAAGGCACCTAATCCTACAATTCCCCACAACAAAACTGCATTACTTGCCTCTTTACAATTGCCATTAAAATAGGTGCAGTATACAAAAGCTTGCGATTAAGGAAAAAATGTAACCCTTTATTTACCAACCTTTGATATGTTTCCATCCTTGGCAGACATCCTCTCGTAGGTATATACCAGGGTCGTTAGACACCTTGTCTTCGATCGATTGATCCTGTTCATAGGGTTCAATGTTTTCAAGTTGAAAGAATTTATTGACCTCAGCAACCATTGGATCTAACTCACACCAAAAAAAATATTTTTTTTTTACTTTCAGATTAAACATAAAACAAATGATTTTAAAATGTATGTAAAGTAACATTTTTAAAATTATTGGCTATTTCAAAAACTTAATGATTAAGAAAATAATTAATCTTTCAAAAAGTTAAGAGTGCTGAATCTCACTTGAAAAGTAAGATATTCATCAAAGACTCAGGATATTTACACTAATTTACAGAGTAAATCTCAAATGTAGTTTTGCAAAAGATTTTAGCATCCTACTTTTAACAAGGGCTAAATAACTCATCTGTTTTTAAATCATGGCATACAGAGGGATTTTGTGGTCAACACCATTGCAAGCCAACCCTTATCTTCCAAGTTTTATCCAGATAACCATGAGATCGGGGCGGACTATATAAGATCACATACTCTGAGTTATTATCCAATAATAAACAACTCTTCCAGCTTTACTGATCTCAATACTGGGTATTCTGAGTATTCAGTTGGGGCAAAGAGGTCTTGCAACACGACAGAACTCTTTCTACTATTTTACTTTCTTAAAACACTACGCCCAAAATCCTCACTCACAATTTGTTGGGTTTATCTGTGATCCAATAGTGTCCTTTAAATGTTTTTTTAACTCCACATGAGAATCATAGACTACGATATCTTGCCTGTCGGAACCTTTAATCAACTTGAAAGTTCGGTCATCTGAACATTCAATCAGATGTCTTTGAAACTGTGCTTCATTCCCAGAAATACAATAAACGACAACATCATAGCATTTGTAGTGAGATAAACTTTCGTGGATCAGAAAAATTTTCTTTCCTGGTTCAAGTCTACCGTGGTCCTTGAGAAAAGATTCTGCAGTTTCATGGCTAGAGATAAATAAAAACATCCAAGGTCATCAATATGTTCTAAGTCTGCTAACATTTTTATATTAATACTGGATATATTAAAACATCTAAGATCAATTTATTCTAAATTTTCTGAGGTATTAATATATATTAATACATATAAATATAAAAATTAAAAAAGGCCACCCATACAATTTAAAGAAAAGTAATAATTAAAATATGGATTTGTTATAAAAAGGACATATTCAAAAAATAATATTCATGTTAATGGTCGAAAGTATGTTTACTAGAGGTTAAAAGTTTACTTAGTCTGAAGAAGCTCACTTACACCAGAGGCCCAAACTTTACTTACACCAGAGGCCCAAACTTTACTTACACCAGAGGCCCAAACTTTACTTACATCAGAGGCCTAAACTTTACTTACACCAGAGGCCCAAACTTTACTTACACCAGAAGCCCAAACTTTACATACACCAGAGGCCCAAACTTTACTTACACCAGAGGCCTAAACTTTACTTACACCAGAGGCCCAAACTTTACTTACACCAGAGGCCCAAACTTTACTTACACCAGAGGCCCAAACTTTACTTACACCAGAGGCCCAAACTTTACTTACACCAGAGGCCCAAACTTTACTTACACCAGAGGCCCAAACTTTACTTACACCAGAGGCCCAAACTTTACTTACACCAGAGGCCCAAACTTTACTTACACCAGAGGCCCAAACTTTACTTACACCAGAGGTCCAAACTTTACTTACACCAGAGGCCCAAACTTTACTTACACCAGAGGCCTAAACTTTACTTACACCAGAGGCCCAAACTTTACTTACACCAGAGGCCCAAACTTTACTTACACCAGAGGCCTAAACTTTACTTACACCAGAGGCCCAAACTTTACTTACACCAGAGGCCCAAACTTTACTTACACCAGAGGCCTAAACTTTACTTACACCAGAGGCTCTTTTTTTAAAATATAAGAGTGGTCTAATGTGACATATTGCAATCAAGCATTTTCTTTTGCACAGTGTACTTACGCAAGTGGCCCAAAGCTAACGAGGTCATGGTTCATCTTGGCTTTTGCTGTTTGAAGTTCTAGGCTCAAGCAGATGTCATAGCGGACGTAAAGCCAGAAGAAACCCTGCACCATTGAAATAAAGGACTTGGCTGCCTCCTCTTGTTCAAATTGTAAATGCTTCAGATAAAGAAATGTATCAATGGGTTAATTACACAGCTGGTGGGCCAATAGAATACTTGTGTTCAGTTGAGTTAGAAACAAATTAATAACACAAATTGGCCTATATATATGTATATAAAGGTCTACGTATGCCAATATATAGTTGCAATAGGTGACATCCCTAATTTGTGCATACAATCCACCTATTAATTCATATGGAAAAAAGCATAGTTTTTTTTTAAGTCACTTGATTTTGGTGTTCCCCCCCCCCCTCTACTGTCGTTCATTGACTTATCTGTTAATCAAAATACTCAACAAGCCTTTATTCCTCTTTCACTTCTTCAGTTGGTGTCACACCCCCCCCCCCCGGATGATAGCTTTAAAGTGTGCGCAGTTAATAGTAAAGATGGTTATCTATAGTCAGATTAATACAGGTGGATTACCTCTTATTAATCATTAACTGAGATGGCAAAAAACATTTTTCTTCTAAATATTTTGCAATTTTTTGTCATGGTGTCACCCCCCCCCCCCCTAAATGGTGTCCGCACCCCCTCCCCCGACACCTATGCAACTAGTATACAAGACACAGCTGCTGAGACAACTTGTGTTCAGTTGAGTTAGAAACAAAAAAAAAGCACCACAACTAGTAACCAATATCTGGGTCATGTCTTGTCTATAAAGGTGGTATGATTGATCTTAAGAAAAAACAAGTCAAAATCAAAGGGAAGGTTAAAATTGATATAACTTGACTTTAGTCAGAACTTAGAGAAAGTAATTATTTTAAGTTAATTAAAATACATAGGGAGTAAAGTATTGTTACAGTTAATCAGTAGAGAAAATTAGTCATGCTACATTTCTATGTTTTGTGGCATTGCAATTCCAAACTTAGTATGTTTTTGTGTAGGCCTGCTTAAACTATCAAGGACATTTTCTTTAACGAAATTCTGCATTTTTATCCATCTAAATTAAAATAGCTTAGAGTTGAACTTCTGACCAAGGTGGTGAATATATCAAACATTACAATGAAACATTCACAACATCTAAATAATTATCAACTGATTCCACTCCTAAAACAACTGCGTAATGTCAATGTCATATTCAAACTAATCAGTATGGTCCTTGTTAATTAGCCAAGATTTAATGTAAAAGACATAGTTTACTGCTATGTATTTGCTATATGAGCAAAGAGTAAGAGTGAAAAAAAATATTTAATCTTTACAACAAACCATAATGACTGCACCTACAAATCTTATTAACTTAAAAAATAAAAAAAATTAAAATGAACTTACTTTTGGAGCCTCATTTTTTAACTCAATCAGCACAGTCCAAGCACGGGCAAGCAGGTTCTTTGGCCCCTCTAGTTTGATTGTAAATATTTCTAAAAACATGCACTGCAGTACCTGTTGTGGTTTTTTAAAATCAGAAACTGTTTTAGTTAAATAAAATATTTAACTGGCAACAAACAGCAGAAATAGTAATCATTTAGCATAAAAATAAATAAGAATATACAGATAAAGCAAAGAGTACATTATATTATGAATATTTTTGTATTTAACATTAAGTACTATACTGAAATTCAGAATTAAATGTCCATAGTTACTGGTAGTTAGTGCCTACATGGTTGTTAATCAGAAAGGAAAAACCATAATTTTGGCTATTCTCATCTATACAAGGATGAGAGTTTGTTAAGCAGTAACCTTACAGAAAGCTGGCTTGAAACTTCCTCATGTCTTTTATTTCCTAACCTGTCTTAAATGGGTATCAGACAGGAGTCAGGCCAGTGGCCAGATATATATGGGTGGTTACTAAGTCACATGATGCAGATTTTTTAACTCAATGCTCTTTTAAATAGGTTTAAGAATTAGGTACTATGAACAAATGGATCGAACACACATACAACACTTATTTGAATGAAATTTCTTTAGCTTAAAGTTAAAGTATATAATTTAGTATAAGACCTTTATAAAATGGCTGGTTTCTTTATTAAAGTTGCTGAATGTAGAGTTAAGGTGGATAACCCATGACAAACCATGCTAACATCATGTTAGGCAAAGTTTAAGACAACTTTATAATTACAGTGATAGATTCTTTAGTACCAAAGAATTTCTTTCCCTCTACACTAGTTACAAACTGTTTCATTTCCAATACATAATGGAAATGAATATTTAGCACAGATCTCATGTTATTTGAATAAATAATTGACATGTTTTTTCTAATGTAAATGTAAATTATAGTGAAGCATCATTTTGGATCTAAAGAAGGTTGATACTTTGTTGACCAATGCATAGGAACATAATAGCCAGTACAATGTCTATCTGCATGTACTGTTTGACATGTATAAAGGTGGTAAAACCTAGGCTTGAAACCAGAATATAAAATCAACGCTACTCCTTAGAAAAATCTCTGTAAATAGAAACGTTTACTTACTTCACCATAAAATAAAGCTGGTTGATGATTTTCACCAATGAGGTTAATGGTAACAGTCACTTTGTCTAGACATCCATTGTTCCCAATGCTGAAGGCTTCATACTGCTCCACCCAGTAGGTAGGCTCAGCTTCAACAATCTTATCATAAAATAACTTTTTGTAGTAATACAGTTTCTGACCTGTCTGCTTCATCTTGCGGATGTTATCCTTCAACCCATTACATATCCAGTAGTGGTCAATTATTTTTTGACTGATCAGGCGCTTCCTGATGTATTTTGAGAAGAGGCGATCTAACCTCCAAAACCTTATAGGGGGTTCTCTATATTTCTGATCGACTGTTACTGAACTGTCGAGGGGCAAATTTTTAGGGAAAAGCATAGCTATGGTGAGGATAGTAAAAAGCTTTTTGTCATCAAATCTTTTACTTTCTCCAAGCTTGCCAGTTAGGAATTCATCCAGCATCTGCAGGATTAAATATTCCAGCATCACATTGTTTTTCAGGTCAAAAATTGACGAGGAGGGTGGAGGACGGAAACGAACTTTCAGCATATAATTTCTCGGCTTCTCTGAGGTTTTAGCGAATACATAGTTATGTGGAAGCCAGTTGTTTTCTTCAGGGCACATCAGTAGGCCAAACATTTGCTCAAACTGAGGTCCAAACAGTTTATCATCTGTTGTGTTCGCACATATAGTTCTGTAGATGTGTTGTAGGCATATTTGCAACACACCGTAATAGGTTAGATCAGGTCCTTCAACATTAGTGGGTATAATTTTAGGCAAAATGCCTTTATGAACAAAGCTTATTTTTATGCTATCAGATGTATTAGTACTATTATCAGGCATCTTGCATCAGAAAATCCTCTTCAGTTTAATTGCTGTGTTTTAACTGCAGAAGAAAAGTAAAAGAAAAAAAAACAGCATAAAAATTATGCATCCAATGGTTGATTTAAAATCTAAGCTGTACTACTATACAGATTATTGTGTCGTATAAACATTGTAAAAAAAACATAACTAGAAAATTCTGATATAAATAATATAACATTTACTTTTTTGACAGTTGATAGTTATTTAACTTTAACAAGCATCCATAGTTCTTTTAAATCTGTTTTAATGTGAAATGCTCTAGTTGAATATGAGTGGAACTTAAAATTTTATAAGCCTAATTATTAAACTCATTTATCAATAGTCTTGCATGGCTACTTACGGTGTTATGGTTTTAACATAATAGTCGTACTTCTGATTTTGTAGGATTTTATAGAGTCTTCTGTAGGATGAGGGAAAACTCTGCTGGTCTGGCTAATCAAATTAATATTTTAATGCAAGACTACAAAGTTATAATTAACACTCCAATCTAGATCTAAGACAGAAAATGTTTGCAATTTCTTTTTTGGCATTTATTACAGCACAACTTTTTTTTGAAGAAGGCTTGGTTAAAACAGAAAACTTGATTTTATTTTCTAACCCCAAAAGCTCAAGAAACATCTATTACAGGTTTTTTAATAATGCCACAATAACGGAATCTTCTTAAAAAGAGATATTTATACTTGTTAGTGAAATGCACTAATATAACTTGCCAATGTCAAAGCTGACCCAAGCCATAACGCAAGTTGCACTATAGCACTAACTTACTTTCCAAAACTAAACCTGATACAATAAATCTAGCAACTAACAATGTTCATAAGAGACCATTGTGTATCTGACACTAGTTAAAAAAAGAACTCTTGCTTTATTTATATTATGGTAGAAAACAGATATTTACATTCCATTTTCTGTCTCAATTTAGTTAAAGAATGAAATAGAAAATGAATATTGCTCTTTCTAATAGCATATTTAACACAAAAAAAGGTTTAAATAATCACTTTATTTATATATATATATATATATATATATATATATATATATATATATATATATATATATATATATATATATATATATATATATATATATATATATAATATATGAGCTGACCCGCTGTGTAACATACGCGCTATTTAGTTGTTTTTTCTCTAATTTTCACTACTAATTCATAATTTGTGAATATGACACTACCAATGCTGCAACTGAAAACGTTTTGCTTTAAAACACTATTGGTAGCTCATGAAGGACCATCATCCTCCAAGCAGAACTTGTTATTACCTCCCCTTAGTTTCAAATCGAAAAAAAACCAAATTATCTACCCCTAATCAAATCTAATAGCCATCACTAAGTCGACTCGGATCTAATTCTAATTCTAAATAATTAAATAGGCAGATGCTAGCCAGAAAAAGATGCGCATGCGCAATGGAGAGAAACTACGACTTGCCATCGCGGAGATGTGTTTACAACCACAGAACCCTAGCCCTAGCCTAACCCCAACAAATAATAATCCTATCCATAACCCTAGCTAGCCCTTATCATATCCCTAATCCTAACCCTAGCCATAGGTCACTGCGCATGCGCAGAACTATCTTTTTTTTGCCAACTAAGTGGAGACGTTGGGGAGAAAAATCTTTTTCCGAGTAGTCACTTCATAATTATTAATTATGATAATAATAAATATTATGGGCCTAGGCTACTACTACTTAGATAGTTTTATTAGTAGTAATGTAGCCTAGTACTAGTAACTAGAATCTAGTAGATCTAGTTTTATAGTTTTCGATAGTACGTCAAATCGGCCGCTAGTAATGTGAAAAAAAAGGTGACTCATTATTACTCATTAAATTTCAGTATAATAATAATTATTTCACATTTTTAGGAGGATTTAGCGATTTATGTTTTGAAAGTTGCAAAAATGTTTCAAAGTTTCTTTTATGTAGAGATCTAGATCTAGATCTACCTGTTTTTAAACAATCGTACTAAAACTTTTCAGGAATAAATAAAGACTAGCGATGTTTTCATCTGATGCAACAAAGCTCATTTACTGTAGATTGTAGAATGTAGATATAAAATAGATCTAGATCTAGAAGCCATCTTGTACAGGGGAAACCACTCTAATTTACAGATGGCCGCTGTTTATACAGCTTTAAAATCGGAAGTTATTTCGAGTCGTCACTTTGAATCCCGGTCAGAACGTTCCCCCTGGCATGGCCTTAACCAACCGGCGGCTTTGTTGCATTGAGTTAAATATAAACTCAAAATAATAAAAATAGGCCTATAGATCTAGGCCCCTATGCCCTATAGTATACTATAGTCTATACAATCTACTTTCAGTTTCAGTGTGTCGTGCCTTAACCAAGTTTGTTGTTAACAAAGTTTTCGGTCCTACTTGTCATTACCATTACAAATAGTTAAGGCAGAAATTTTTCGTTATCCTGGTTCTTTCAAGTAGATCTAGAAATCTAGATCTACATCTGTGTTTAAAGTTTAAATGATGAAGTTTTAGATCGAGATCACTGAAACAGGTGAACTCTACTTCAGCTGCCACTCTTTTCTTTAAGGTTTCAATGTGATGGGAAATGTTTACTTTTTATTTTTTTACCCAGCTTCATCCCAAATCAAGATGAAGCAATGGAAAAGTAGTCAGTGTCTTCACAATTAAAAAGTCAAAGTAAACAACACATTTGAAGGTCTTTTTCTGAAAATGTTTACGGGGACGAATGCAAAATGATATCAAAACCATATCTTTTCTGTTATATATAATATATTATATAGTTAAATATATGGCAGGAAACAGATTAGTACCGCAAAATGCATATTCGGTCTTCGCCGTTCATAAACTTTCTAACCAGACATCGTTCGGGGATTTTGTTTATACTGATAAATAGAGCAAGGTTTTTACAAGCTTCGTTAGCAACATTTTTGTGGAATTCGTTTTTTATGACATTTTGTGCCGCGGCGAAGGATGCGAAGTATGCAAATCTAGACGGAATGGATCTAGATCTACTTGGAAAGTACGTGTACTGCACTAATGAGGTAAGAAATAATATTTTGTAAAAATAACTATTATTTTTTTATGGATTTTTCATTAGAAATGATTGCTGTAAATTATGAAAGTAAAAAAAAGTATATTTGAATGCGTTTTTTACTTTAATTTGAACAAAATGACTGCCGAAAATTACGACACATCGGCGTCGCTGAAAGCGGGAATTTCAGTTAATTTTTTACGGATATAAAATTGTATTTTTTTACTCCGAAGCATGTATTTAAATAACTGTTAAGTTAAATCTATTTAATTCTGTAAAATATAATTATTATTTTGCCGTAGATACTTTTTTTTATATTTTTAATGATTTTCTGTCGCGGAAAATCGGTATTCGCACCATGCACGCACACGTAGTAAAACTAGACTTATCTTTAAAACACGAGAATCTTGAGTACACTGCGAATAACAAAGTTTTTTAATTTTAGTTTACTTTTGACTTTAAGCCATTTGTTTTAAATCGAAATTAATTGATAATGTAATTATTTCAAAGTAAAAATTTTCCGTCGCAAATTGGCTTCTAACCTTCGCCACTGAACCAGCCTACGCACGACATTCGCGCGAGTCTGTTTCTTCGCAATAGTGTCGTATAGTGTCGAGGGCTAATTCTAAAAAGAATCGAGTCCTTACTAATCTAATGTTTATTAAAATTAGGTACAATTGTTGGAACGCATGAGAAATAACAAATTAATATTTCTTTAAATCTATAGCCAAAAGAAAGTAGAACTTTATAACTCTGTAAATTATGAATCGAGTGACGGCTGTCGTGAAAACGGGAGCCATTTTACTCTTTTTTTTAGGGTGACCTACTTTTATTATATAATTTTAAAATTCATCGATTTGATTAGCAGCTGAGTAGCTGACTACGCATGCGATATGGCTGGCACGTTTTGGGATAGGGATCGAGTACACCATAGAATTTTTTTTCTTTGAACTAAGCGTATTTTTTTTTAAATCAAAAGATACTTACATATCAGTTGTTGATTTCAATTTCATTATAGATCTAATCACTAACTTCAGTTTTTAAAAGTAATTTTGCTTCTAGAACTAGCGTATTTTCAAAATTACGTAGATTCTAAATCTAGATCTATTCACTTACTATTTGACAACCGTGTCAGTAAAATGAGGTCACCGCTTCCAGATTCTTAGGTTTTAATTATGTTTGTCATTTTGATCTATTATAAGTAGCATTAAAACAACTGCATCTATTATCAACATTGTTTTTATATGCCAGTTCTAATTATACATTCTGTTCATTACCAATTCTAATGAAATCGTATTAGGCCCTAACACCCTGTTCACCTACACTGACACTACACTTGAATGACGCCACAGACAGTCGTAACTTTAAATTAATGTTCAAAGTATTAAACAATTATAATTAGCCATGTAAATGCTGCAACTATATTAAAAATTGGCATATAGACATATTTTATTAATTATGTTTTTTATATAAACCTTCTATATTTAACTCTGTTATTTTTTTCTTCCCCAGAGTGTTTCTAAAAGCCAGAATTTTAAAGGGGAGGGCGGTCGTTTTTTTTCTCAAGAATAATTATAGAAATAAGCTATAAACTGGTATATTTTGTAAAGTTTGACATAATTACAAATAAATGTATGCCTAAGTGACATTTCTGTGTAATTTTATTGTTAATTTTGTGAATTTCGTGGATTTTTAGACCTCACTACATTTAGATGTAAAAAAATCTCAGTTGAGTGAGTGTGGTTAATCTACATTTTGAACGTGATGTAAATGTCTAGTGCTATTAATTTTTATATATTTGAATTCCTCGATTGTTAAGCAACAAAATTGATATATAATATGTCAATATTTGTTACTTTGAAAATTGGCGAAAATCGACCCTAAAAGTAGATGCTTGAGGGTTGAATCTGTTTCCTGCCATATAGGCTTCATGCTGCCTATTATGCTGTTCAGTGCATGCTTTGGTTGGATGACGCTAAACTTGACATGTTTAAATTAACAGCATGTAATTGAGTTAGTTCAAAGTGAGTTTTCATACAAGCCCAACACACTAATTAAATCTGTCGCAAGAGATGTAACATATTACATATGTCAATGAATTTTCATTTCTCTGTGTGCGCTTTTTTTCTGTGTGCGCAAATTTCTGTTTGCATCTTTCTGGTAACCCAACAAAACATGCAGACAACTACCATCAGAGGTGACAAACCCATTCTATAACAAACACAGTTCATAGTTTGTAATGACTCAATTTATTTGAATGTTCATATTAGACACTGGAGACAAAGTTGTAGGCATACACTGAATATCAAACGATAAAAATTAATTCACCTCAATTAAAACAAAAAAAAAATATCAATCAATCACACTCCAACACTCAACTTGAATCAATCACATGATTGAAGCTAACAAGTGCTAAATAGTTCAGTGCTCAATGTAATGACAGCTTTATAACCATTAAACTAATTTGTTTAAATGTTAATGATAGCTTTAAAGCCTTACAAATAATTAGATCAGTGCTAATGACAGCCTTAGAAACTAAACTAATTAATTCAGTGCTCATTAAGAATAGTCTTAGAACAACAAAACTAATGTTACATAAGACTAATTTTTTTTGGGGAGGTTAAAATTTTTTTTCTTATAATAGAGTCTACTATAACTGAACAGTCCAATGCTACAGGTTAGAATGTATGCTACACAAGGTTGGTTGACCCCACGGTTATCATGGAAATACAAGCTGGAGCAGACCAAGTAACATAAGGGATACAAGTCTTATAGGGTTAAAAGAAACTAATACATTCATGTGCTAGTGAGATATGACTGGATTATAATGCATGTATCTAAGAAATTTTAAACACATAATACAAGAATATTATTATTCACAAGTAGCTAGGCTTTGGATGTTTGCCAGTTTGTACATAAACAGTGATTCTTGAATAGTGTGAACCCTATTGAAATTATTTTATTTTTTCACTTTTTATTTCCCCCAACCCATTATAATATACTGGGAAATTTTAACAAATAAATAATTTTTTTTTTCAAATTAAACTAAAAAAGAAAAACTGGAACAACTTTATAATAAAAAACTCACAGCAACATTATGATTTATAAGAAGACTACAGTCTAGGTGGTTAAAATATAATTACACAATAAATATAAACAGTTGAAAAATAATTATGATGACTCTACCACTGCTTAACAGTAACACTTCCGGGGAAATGGTCGCTCAAAATATAAAAGGATATCCTCTCAATTCAATCGTATTGCACAGTATTAAATACAGATATACATCAATAAATAAACATTGGAAAAACCCACCCTGCGTGCCCCAACCATTATACATAAACACAGCCTTCTTGTTGTATTTCTTACTTTTGATATCAATAACATTAACTAAACCTAAACAGAAGTATGCATCAATTTACAATTTATAACATTATACACAATAATAACTTGCAAAGAATTTTTTTTTTAATAAAAAAGTATGATGAAAAATGGCGTTAAACAATGTACTACAACATGTAATTTTAACACAGGTAGTTACAATTCTGTGTAAGTTATGGCATCATTTCATGAACTAATCTTGTGCGATTTTTTAATTCATCTGTAGCTGGGGTTTCAATAAAATAAATAGCAAACAGCCAGGATGTGGAAAAAAAGATTTAAATATGATACAAAAATCATGTTTTCGTTTGTTTCTAAAATAGTTCATGTTGTGAACAATAATATTTGGTTTGTCGTGAGACTTCAAAACAAACATAAAGCCTATACTTCACTTCCTGTACACAGGTAAACATTCACTCATAAAAACTTGTTCAAATTTTGTTCATTATCTCCAGGCGTTAGTAATACGCACACAATACTAAACTAAAACAAAAAGTTATTATGTTACTGTTTGCTGCTACCAACATGCCTCTAAATACCATCAATAGAAAAACTTTCAGCCAACTCAATAAGCACCTACTCAATACTGCTGACTTATCCCTTGTTAATTCATTAAACATGACCCTCATAAAATTTACTCATCATTATATTTGTGAACATATGTTACATGAAATGCTGTCAGCTTTTGTACCAATTAATTTTAATCAAATTTATTTAGCTACATTTTACAGTTCAAACTCTAGTGTCAACATGAGTGAGCTGTATTATTTCTCTTGAATTGATTATGTATGGAAAAGTGCAACTGAATTAAAGCTTGTTACAACATAGATTTTTTTTTAAATGAATATTATAAAATTATGGATTTGATGAATGAGTGAACATTGAGAATATTTATGCTTCAACCAAACCTGGTTGTTTTAAAAAAAAAAAACAATGAAAGAACACCTTTTCTTTTCTTATTCCACCCAGAATAGCTTAGTGTGAGGTACTAAATATCATTATGATCACTGCAAATCTATTTCAATTTATGGTGGTCATTCTAATCTACAATAACAAATATTAAGAAAGAGAGTATACTAATTAAATAAAAGCATTTTTTTAAATAAGCCCAAAGGTGACTGATTAAAAGAATAAATAAAATACTAATCACTTTAGTAACAGGCTAACAAAATACCAAGCTAACTACTAACATTTGCACAGTATTTTGCTTGGTTTTGATGACAAAAGTCTTACAAAAAGACAAAAAAAGGTAAGACTTATTTGAAGCCGGAGATATGTATCTTACATTTAAAAGTGAGTATGATTATGTAATATCACTGGGGAATTATGTGCATGATTTTTTTTTTTTTGAAAACTGAAAACAAAACTTCTTTATGCTTAAGTTTTAAAAACAAACTACATAAGGATAAATTCAGAAAGCCAAAAATAAAATTAACTAAACCAGCCTGTTGTTTTGTTTCTGAATCTAGAGAAACATACAATTTACTGGACTTTCTGAAGTAAAATTGTACATAGAGGAAAACAGTAGTAAGAAATGAACATGAAATCAAACATGAATGCTTAAAACAGTGATCAATAAATATGTGCAAGTTTGATGGGGATGAAGGTAGATGTGCTGCTGTGCTATCAGGTAGTGACACTTGTGATAGTGACAGGTAGTGAACACATCTACTAATTGTGATGGTTGAATTAACACATCAACTTTAGTGCAGATTGTAAGAGCAACTGCTCAAAACATAGTCATAGGAAGCTATCAGCTAAACATATCAGCATATAATTCATGTGATGGAATAAACATAACCTTATAGGAATACTGTCATTTACACATATTTGCTGAGAGCATTTGTCATTACATTAAAATAAAAGTATCTCAAGAAAGTTATTCGTTCTACTGCTATACAATTGTCTTGTTAAAAAAAACGTTTCACAACCACAAAAAAAAAAAACTGGTCAATAAATAAAAACGATAAGTTATTTAGTATGATACATTAAAAACAAAAGAATGAATTACTTATTTATTATGATCAGCATAAATATTTGGGTGGTTTTAATTTTAAACACATTTCCATGCCATTTGTTCTCTCGAATTAATGCAACTGCTTTTATAATTATTTATATAAAAACTGAACATTTTCACAAAAAAATTACAAGCTATAAACAGCAGTCATACCCTTGTTCAACAGATTAATTAGTATAAAAACAGCTTGAAGGTAAAGACAGTTTGTTCAGTGCTTATATAGGCCAGTGTATAAAATAAAAATAGTTTTGTTCAAGAAGACAAGCAAATGTATTCCTTGTCTGATGATCTACAGTGCAGGATGAAACACATCACTTAAGTTTTAATGTATTTTTGCGTTTTTTAAATTTCACATTTTTTTTTGGAGATAAAAATTACTTTTGTGACCTATTATCAGGATGAAGAGAAAAAGAATCGTTTCACATCAAATGTTATTATAAATCACATCTGTAATAATCAAAAGTGCAGATGCAACACATTCCCTACTGGAATAAAGAAAAAACCACATATACTACAGCCAGATTTACAGTTTTTACTCTACATCCCCCCCAGTCCCCCCACAATTAATTATCATACGACACCCTCCATGAAACTTGTATCCAGAGACTGGATAAGAGTACGGATAAACCCCATCTCTTTGCGTGTGTTTTCAAATATCACCCTTGGGTCATCACTTTCGCACCGCAAGCAGTTAGGGGCCATAACCATTGCCAGATTGTTGACATCCATTTTTGTGGTCTGGGCATTTTCTGGAGCAGCAAACACCTAAAATAGATAATTGTTAAAAATAACATGATGTGTTACCTTTGGAGTTTTAAAATTGTCTTTGTATAGGGTCAACAAATGTTGTAAGTAAAAAAAAAAAACCATTTTGTAAATGATTTCTGATTAAATTAGGTTACGCTATGGTGTTTCTAAAATTTAAAATGTTCAGATTTTGAATAGGTTAACCATATCGGACAAATACAAATATTTTAATCAAGCAAATAATAAACTATCTGTTGATAAACCAAACAGAACAAAATCCATTTAAATGTTAAAATGAATTAAAACAATAGAGTTGAATACATGAATTTATGTGAAAGTTTTTATTTCAATTGTTTGTATAATAACAAAACTTAGAAAGGAATTGTAACACTAGTACTAGGTCCAGAACTTGCCCATCAAAGCAGGGATGTTCAGCCTCCCTTGCCAGTTTGTAAACAGAAACCAAAGACACAGCCTACCAATGGTAACCTAGCAACACTGACAAGCAACTTACCTGTAAAAATCTAATAAGATAACACAGGACCAGGCGGTTGATGTCTGGCAACTGGTTCACTATGGCGATGGCAGCATCAGCATTGGAATAGTTCTCCACACAGGTTTCATAAAACTGGGCAGGTATCAGAGGCTCGTACAGCTCGCGGTACCACAGCTTAAGTAGGGATGCTGGGATATGGGGGTCTGGGCAATCTGAGGGGAGGATCCATTGATCACAGCGGAGCTTGAGGGCGTTGACCTCATCAATATCACCAGGGACTCTAGATAATAGTAAAAATTAAAACAAAGAATTAAATAAAACTACCTTTAAGAAAAATTTTCTTTACGTTTATGTAATTTAATGTAAATTTTTAAAACTTTAAAACAAGCTAACTGTATGTACAGAAATGCCAATTTGTAGAAAGCTAGATAAGATTTCTTTCAGTTATTTGTTCAGTAGTAAAAAGAGAATATTAACATAATTTGCTTTCGTTTATGTTTCAAATGTACGTCCTTGTACAAAAATGGCATTATTGTGGTTTATAGGAACAGTTTTACTTGTATTATTTACTATACATACAGCTGACAATAAACTGAGCTGACCTGAAAATTCCTTCTGTCTGGGTGCCATTCAACCTGAGCACCTCCTCAGACAAGACTATCTGTATCCAGGGTAGCTGTCTGTCAGGGTATCTGTCCTTCTGTAGCAGCATGACATCTTCCAGCATACTGCCAAACATGGATGGGTGGAAGATGGCTTTCTGTACAGTCAAATAGAAACGTGTTAGATCAACAATTTATGTGGAGGGGTGGAAGATGGCTTTCTGTGTAGTCAAAGAGAAACGTGTGTTAGATCAACAGTTGATATGGAGGGGTGGAAGATGGCTTTCTGTGTTGTCAAATAGAAACATGTGTTAGATCAACAGATTGAATAGAGGGGGGGGGGGGACAATGGCTTTCTGTACAGTCAAATAGAAACATGTGTTAGATCAACAGTTTATGTGGAGGGAGGGGGGATGATTGCTTTCTGTACAGTAAAATAGAAACATTTGTTAGATCAACAGTATGAATAGGGGGGGGGGGGGGGAATGAGGGAATGATGGCTTTCAGTGTAGTCAAATAGAAACATGTGTTAGATCAACAGTTTATGTGGAGGGAGGGAGGGATGATGGCTTTCTGTGTAGTCAAATTAAACTGTTTTAAATCAAGTTTGAATCTGCTATATGTGTGTTTGAAAGGACTCAATATATCCTCTGGATTAGCACTACATACTATGTTCTGGAGCAGGGGTCTCTAAACTACGGCCCGCGGGCCGGATGCGGCCCTCAAAGTCCTCTCATCCGGCCCGCGGCCCTCAAAGTCCTCTCATCCGGCCAGCGGAGATCTTTTTTTGTCCAAGGAAAAATCATTTGTTGGTGATGGCTGAGAAACTTTGCCCAGAATAATCAAAGACATGCCCGGAAGAAACTGGCCCCCGAACTGAAATTTGATAGTTAATGCGGCCCTCGGACTGAAAAGTTTGGAGACCCCTGTTCTGGAGGACTGTATTCAATTGTTTAAGGACTATTTATGTGAGCATCTTAAAAAATATTCGGTCTAATATACAATGTGTCTATAAGACCATACACTGTCGATAAGACACTACACTGTGACTATAAGACACTATACTGTGTCTATGGGAGTAAAGCAGATACACAGTGAACACTTTGTTTACCTTGGCCTGTTCCACCTCCTCCAGTGTGGGTTTCCTCACTCCTTTTTTGGCACCAGTTTGTAGAGCTCTCTCTAGTCTCTGGCTGCAGTGGGCAGAGAAATGGGACACAGGAACCTGAGGAGAGCAACACCACTTAAGATACAACATCACTCAACTACAACAACAACAGCATTCAGCTACAACAACAGTACTCAGCTACAACAACAACACTCAACTACAACAGTACACAGCTATAATAACCGCTCAGCAACAACTACTGCACTCAGCTAAAACAGCACAGCTACAACAGAACAGCTACAACAACAGCATTCAGCTACAACAACAGCACTAAGCAACAACAACATCACTCAGCTATGGCAATAACAGATTAGTACTAAGCTATAACAGCACTTTACTACAATGACTTTACACACACAAAATCCTGTTTGGGGGAAATAAACTGAAGGCAAATGCCCTCATGAAAGCTAGAACTTACACTGCCCACATCACTTGAAGGATCCTTGTGCTTGACGATGTAGCTCTCTAATACGGAATGAAACGTGTGTGAGGGTGGGAAGAAATGGAGACACATGGCCATCAACTCCCATCCATGTTGTAAACTTTCCCTAAACCAGACAAAAGAAAATTAATTGTAAGAAATAGGGGAACTTTTTTTAAAAAAAAACCATGCCAAACTTCAGAGAAATACAAAACATTAATCTATTTTACAGGTTACAGTTGGACTTAAACATTGCACATAAACCTTCAGTGGTTGTGAATATATTTATATCTTAAGTGAAACTTCAATGTCAGAAGTTATACAAGTATGCCATGTATTTCTGTAGGTATTCATTTATGTCATGTATACCAGAAGAAATACAAACATACCATATAGGCTATATCTGTAGGTAAAGATACATGTCATGTATACCAGAAGTTATACAAGCAAGCAATGTATATCTGTATGTATACATAAACGTATGTGGTGTGTTTCTTCATCTGTGTTCTTAATTTTAGTGTTGAAAGGGATTCCCTCCAACACAATACAGTATTTGTGTCAACTGGTTATGCGCCATATAGGCAGTTGACTCCGATTTCAACCTGCTTTGCTTTTTGGATTTGCTTCATGGCCTTTGTCCAACCAAGAACAAAATACATGGCAGCAGGATTTTGTTTTCTCTCCTAGAAGAGTTGCTGTCCCCAGCTGTCGAGCCTCATGTTCGAACTCGCGACTTTTTGGATTAGCAACCAATGAGCTTAACCGACTCCACCATTGTGACCCCCTTATGTGGTGTATAAATGAAAGCACTTACTCCCTCTTGTTCTCTGTGGTCTGCCTCATGAGCTGAATGTAGATCTCATCTCTCAGGTTGACTGTGGACCAGCCCTTGGTGATGATGTCCAGGGCCACAGACATGGGGGCCTGCTTGCCCTTGCGGTCTCCCATATACAGCTGTATCAGTGCAGCAAGTCAAGGAGAAACTCAGACATGTTTGGTGCTAGTGTAGCTATATATGATTCTCACAGTACAAACATTTTGTTTCACTCTCTTTATGATGTGCAGCAGGGATAACATTTTACATTAAAAAACTTAATATTTATATTTATTTTCTTATATAAATTAAGATTAACTAAAAGTAGTAAAAGACTTTACACAACCATAATAATTCATTTTATATTTTAATGTAATTTTTAAATATTTTTCCCCCAGATTTGTTAAAAGGATATTTTTAAACATTTCACAGGCATCTTTCTTGATACTCTTATCTGCAGTCCTTATCATTGGTTTCTGTATTGGATCCTGGAAGATGAATAAAACAAGATGAATCACAGCTTCAGAGATAAACAACAGGAGTTAGATTTCCTTGACTAGATCAGAGATATACACAGAGTTACAGTTCCTTCAACACAGGGGAGAGAACACCTGCCCTCACCTTTGACCAAGTCAACATGTTGTTGATGGAGACCTTCTTGCCAAACAAGCCTTTCTTGTGTCTGTTGAGGTTCTGGCTGTACAGCTCCATGTCTCCTTCTGATGCAAGCTTCTGGCCATAGAGGGGAGAAATGTAAGTAAACATGGGTAAACACAGTGTGTACAACAAAATCTTCTGACCACAAAACATGGGTAAACACAATGTATACAGCAAAATCTTCTGACCACAGTAAACATGGGTAAACACAATGTATACAACAAAATCTTCTGACCACAGTAAACATGGGTAAACACAATGTATACAACAAAATCTTCTGACCACAAAACATGGGTAAACACAATGTATACAGCAAAATCTTCTGACCACAGTAAACATGGGTAAAAACAATGTATACAACAAAATCTTCTGACCACAAAACATGGGTAAACACAATGTATACAGCAAAATCTTACAACCATGGTAAACATGGGTAAAAACAATCTATACAACAAAATCTTCTTAACGCAGAAGGCTATAAACATGGGTAAACACAACATTTAAGTTTATCCAGCATAAAAAATTGTTAACTTTTAATTTAGAATTTGTATAATTAAAGCAACGAAAAGTTAATTAATCTGTTTCTACAAGTATTTAAGGACGTGTATGAAACATTGGGTTACTCACCCCTCTATTAAGTGACCCTGTGGATGGGCTCATGGCCATGTTGGGGTCAGGCTGGGGTACCACCATGCTCAGAGGCCTGGGCGTCACATCAGCCTGTAGGGACTGGCTCCTCTCCCCTGGGCTGGCATCTGGTTTGTCATTTTTCTTCCTGCGCAGGGAGGCATGCTGGGTCTCCAGATTGGCTGAGATTCCAATGGGCTCAGACTGGATCTGTCCTCTTGGGGTGGCATTGTACAGGCTGGATGTGTCAGACTCTAGCTCTGGGACACCTAGATACAGGAGTTGATAGGGAGTTGGTATTTGGTAGCTTTTAGTACAGTACTTAATACTTGGTAATATGTTGATAAGATGTAATTGAGGCTTTAATAGTATCGCTAACCTACCATTATGATTAAGATTAAAATGTTTTAAAAACATTACCTACATAACATTAGAAAAATAAAACAAAACCTCATATATTGGGCAAATGAAATAGCAGTTAACTGTTGTTGTTTTTTTTATATTAATAAATGAAGGAATTGTGTCAAAAACCAGATTCAGGTACCTTTACTTCCATGACTCAGGTCAGGTACTCATTAAAACTGGGTGGACTCCAACAGACTTGAAGCAATCATTGGCTAAACCAAATACGATGTCTCATACATTATTTGGTACAAAGATACTAAAACTAGTAATAGACTTACTGTCATAGTCTGGGTAACTATTTTTCCTCATGTGCACATTTTCCTTGTTGAAGTCCTCATCATCGTCATCATCATCGTCGTCGTCATCATCATCGTACTCCCCCTCACCAAAAGTTGTGACAAATCTCGGGACGTCCTTGCCCCCTTTCCCAACGGTTGTGCTGTTCCCATTACTGTTGCTGCTGGCGGTGCTGCTGCTGGTGTTAGTGTGACCATTGCTGGGTGGGAGGTTGGCGTAGTCAGGTTCTTCTCCGGCTGCGGAGCGCTGGGATACCTGACTGGATGACCGCTCGTGGTATGCAGCTAGAGAAATAATGAAATAAATCTTCAGTTCTGTTATTTCATAAGCCACTCATAACTCAGAACTTAACTAAAACTATTAAATTTCAGTTGTTAAAATATTTATAGTGACACATAGAAATCTAACACAACTTAGCTAAAACTATTAAATTTCAGTTGTTAAAATATTTATAGTAACACATAGAAATCTAACATCTACTTTCAAAGAAAGATACAATGTAGTAACTAATTCCCCATCCCCACATTTACCATAGGTAACATAACATTACTTTTACAAATTCAAACTAATTTATTACATTTACTCTCTTAATACAAAAATACAAATATAAAAGCAGAAATTTTAGTTAATAAAGTGTGAGCTAGTTTAATATGACTACCACCATAAAAGATAAAATATACCAAACAAAATCTTTGAACTACAATCGATTTATGAGCAGAAAATATCACTTACCTCTGTTTTGGCCCCTGGGGGATACATTATCATTTCTAGAAGGATCTAAGTTACGCAAAGAACCCTGGGAAGAATGCATATCTGACATATTCCTAGCAGAACCGTGAGAAGACTGGCTATCAGACAGCTCTTTGCCGCGTGCCGGAGTGCCGTCCGCCCTTTGCTGTGGCTGATAGTTTGGGTGTGCCCGGCTGGCGCTGGACTGAGAGACGTCGCTGTCGCTCCTATTGTGATATGGTGGAGGTGGCTGGTGGAGCACGGTGCCACTGTTGCTGTGGGTCATCCGGGGACTGTGGGTCTCCGCGTATGTATCCGACAGCGACTGAGAAGTCTGAACGCCCATAGTCTGGGCCATGTTCCCGTTACCGGCGACAATGTAACCGGTAGAATCATACACACCGGAACTGCTTCCACTGGAATACTGTCCTTCAAGACCATGTATCTTTTTATAAATCCCTGAGCTCCCAGGCGACTGGCCTTCACTTCGCCGGGATAATCCAGTATAGTTAGGGTTTGTTCTTGGGAAAGATCTTTTTGATTTACCACTGCCCCCAGGCTGGGGTATGGGGCTGACGTTGCCCTGTTGGCTGGCCACATCCTGGTTGAATGTTAAGTATTCCTCGCCGCCGCGCACGTCCGGGCTATACAGCCGGTCGTGACCCTGCTGAACCATATCTGAACCCATGCTGTCTGTCCGTATGTACATAAGTGACATAGGCCCACTGTCCGTCGAGTAGTGGCTACTACTGTCATCAGACACAGAGCCTTTCCTGTAAGGATTCTCTGCGTATATCGGTGGCGCACCATGTTTGAAATCTGTTAAGCTTCCTTTTCTAAGTTCGCCAGCATACTTCTGGAAAGCATGTCCGGAATCGGTAGCCCCGGTCGAGCCTCTCATATCGTGAAAGCTGGCCGGCTGTCTGGCGTCGGGATACCCTGAATGGGGGTGATGAACACGATGGTCGTAAACACCGAGGTCACTGGTGTAAGCGATGTGTTGGGACTCGGACATCCCTTGCCCTGGCCTGGGCACCAGCCCCTCGCTGGCCTGCCTGTGGTGGTGGTGGCGGTGATGGTGACCGGGGCTGGACTGGAACAGGGGGTCAGATGGCACGTGGGGCATTTGCCTGGGACGGCCCGTATCAAAACTGGCCTGTCTATGAAAAGCAAAATCTGGGTCTTGTGGCTGCAAGGGACTGTGCTGCCACCTGGTGTTTCCACTAGCTGCAACTGCAGCCTGGCGCACAACTGCATTCGTATCACTTGCAGTTTTATGGAGAGAGCGGGACCTTGACGGGCGAGGAGAGTCTATGATTGTCCTCTGGGGCATTTCAAAAGAATCACGACGCATAACATTGCGGTTGATGACAGCAAAAGGTAGCTGTTCGTTCTGGGCTGGGGGCTGTCCAGTACGTCTGCGCAGCTCACCATTGAGAGCAGCCCCTTCATCAAGGCGACCAGAACTGCTGTGTGAGGATGCTGAGTCTTGTCTCTGGTAGCGATGCTGAAATAAATCAATAAACTTTCTTTAAGCTGCTATTTTTGTCTTTTCATTAGATCATCATTACATCCTATTTATAAACGATGGAGGCTATATTTGGGTATAAAAAGACAAAATAGTATCATTAACTTTTTTTTTAAAAATGATCACAGATCCTCTAATAATGACAATATTTTAAAAAAATATACAACATAATATGCCTTATTATTATTTCTACATATATTCAAATTTCATTATATTTAATACTAAATAGAAATTTTTGAGGACATTTTTTAAAGTAAACTGTTGTGTGTAAACTATGAATAAGCTTAGATATAATAGTTGACATGTTTTAATTACTATACTAGTTAGACTAAACTGAGTGTATATGTAAATGCCAATGTTCCCTCTAAGGGGGAAAAAGATTGTGTGCAATGTATATTTTTGTGTGCTCTGATTTCTGAAAGTCTTATATAAGGATACGTGTATTTTACAAAATGACTGCGCTGCAGTTAAAAACTACTGCGTGGCAGCGCAGCTTAGAGGGAACATAGTAAATGCCAATGAACAATGTAAAAAAAATCCATTACCTTTCTGGATCCTTTAGGGCTTGTCTGGGCACCCTGTGTGTGAGATGACTTGGATGGCATGGCAGCAGAGATGGAAGACGATGGAGGTGGCGGTGATGTGGTTGTCGCCGCCGACCCTCGGATGGAGGTCCCTCGACCATGGTCCCGACGCTTTCGAAAGACAAGTATAAAACTGAACATAAGGGAGGTGGATGACAGCAGGAGGTACAGGGAGGCGTCCCCGAGGTGCAGGAGATAGCGCACTGCACTCATTACTGTATGAATAGCCATGGTGATTGTATTGTCCATTTTCAGTGGAGTCTGGCTAACTTGAGCCATCCCTAACTAAAACCATAATGAACTGAACAACTGTCCTGGTAGGTGTTGCCTCGAGGAAAGTCTCTTCCTTTATGATTACATTGTGCATGCTGATCCTAATTAATACAACACAGTTCAAACAAAGTCTGAGTCACTCGTTAAGACACTTCATGTGAGTGATTGTGACTAATCAACACTTCTTAAAGATCAAGAAACAAACATTTTCTCAGGCCATGCCCTAAATGAAACTGAATAACAATACAGGGAAATGAGTTATGACTGGTGGTGCTAATCAGCTACTTCTTAATATGGCAGAGAAAGTAGCACCAAAGAAAAGTATTGGACTAGTTTTTATATTACAACTACTGGATATTATCTACATGATACAAAAAGTTAAAAAACAAAAAAAAAGCCAGAAACAGCCATCTTACAAGAACACTTAATGTTTAACAACACAATCTGAATCCCTAAGTGATGTACGTTTGTAAGTCTGGTGTAGGCCAACTACATGTTACTAATAGTAAAACTACTGAATCTTTTGTTGTGTACGTTCTGATTACTAGAATATAAAACTATTAGCAATTTCCGAACTGATTTAAAAATTTAAAACTCCAGTTAGATTCTCTATATAAAACATGCAAGGCGAGAACAAAAGTCACTTGAAATTCAAAAAGAAAATAATTCACTGTATAAAATATCCAACGTATGTGTGAAACAATGTAAGTCAACCAGCATCACACGGCCACTTTGTGGTTAGACTGGCTAGATTGGGCACATAATTAACGTCATTAGTTCTCATAATGGTATACACCGTTCGCTGCACACAGATGAAGTTGTGCTGCACCAACAGGCTAAATCTTGACACAAACAAGGTGTGTCGGCTAATTAAAGGTCCCAGTCAAACTGTGCTAATTAAGAGAACACACACACACACACTGTCAAGCAAAGGTCACCAGCGTGACACGGCGAGTTGTAGACCACAGGCGTGTGATATGAGATTTGGTTAGCCCAAGTGTGAGCGGCCTATCCTACTTTAACGTGAGCTAGGTTATGGGAACAGTCACGTGAAGCTCAGCAGAAGGGGGGGGGGGTCTAAATTGAAGACAATTTTCACAATGCTGTAGCAACTCAACATGGGATCGTGAAGCAGAAACATCCTGTTGATTTGACGGCCATTTTTATATCTCCACATTAAGAAGACACTTCAACTTAAATTATTCGGACAACTTATCCTATCCTTAACCCTGATGACGTAGGTAACACAAAAAGTGATGAATTAACATCAAAATACAGCACCAAGTGACCCCTGTGTGTCCGCTGTTTGGGTCTGGTTAAACAACCGAGCAGCAGCAGTGTGTCCCAGGGTGTCGGAGTCAATCAATTAGAAAAGAGGAAGAAAAGAGAACAGAGAAGTCTAACAGAGCCGGTCAAGTTTATTAAATGTAACGGCTTCTTGTGACGTCAGACATGGGGTATCACTACCCGCCGACTGACGTCAGAGGAAAAAGTTTCGTGCTAGTGATGGTTTCCTTCAGCCAGTGAAACCATGAGCCTCTCCACCCAGGTTAGTGATGGCAGTACAGCTGTCAGTGATGACAATACTTCCGTCAGTGATGACAGTATAACTCAGTGATGATAATAGCGCTGTCAGTGATGACAATACTTCCGTCAGTGATGACAGAATAGTAGCCAATAATGCTAGTACATCTGTCAGTGATGCTACATCTCTCAGCTAAAAGAAATCTGCGTACAATGTGGTTTACCAATGTTTACAAACAACAGCACCAACTCCCTAGCAACGACCAGGACAATGACAGGTTAACAACACGACACATGTTTACAGCTGAGAAGCTCAACACATGCGGCCCATGATGGCTCCTTGAGCGGCCCATTACATCAATAATACACCTCTCACACGGACAATTTCCCGTAGAGCGGAAACTCCAGGTCAGGAAATTGTAATGGTATCGCCAGGTAAGGTAATTGTAATGGTATCGCCAGGTAAGGTAATTGTAATGGTATCGCCAGGTCAGGAAAATGTAATGGTATCGCAAGGTCAGGAAAATGTAATGGTATCGCCAGGTCAGGAAAATGTAATGGTATCGCCAGGTCAGGAAAATGTAATGGTATCGCCAGGTCAGGAAAATATAATGGTATCGAGTCCTCCCACACCAACTGCGCCTTCCCTCAGCACTAGCCTACTGGAAGTTTGATTTATACTGCTCTAGCAGGCCATAGGACAATCTAGTTCACCGCTAATTTAATGGCAGCTTGGGCGGGGGGGGGGGGGGGGGAATTTCAACACAGGGGAGAGGGGAGGAGGTCATAAAATTAACTGTGAGGAGAGAAAGGAAGATGAGATAAATTATCTAGAGGAAGAGAAAGGGAGATAAATTAACTATAGAAGGACAAAGGAGATAATCATTAGAAGAGCAATATTGACAACTGAGGGTTATGAGTGGAGTAAGAAAGAAAATATATGACAGGAAAGATAGACAAATTCACGAGGTAAGTTACAATAAGTATGACCATCATGAGGTAAAGTTACAACAAGTATGACCAAACTGACTGTAAAAGACAGAAACAAATAGAAGAAAATGTGAGAAATTTAACCGGCTTTAAACAATGGAGAAAAGCGATGCTCACAGCTAACCAAAGAAGACGAATGAACATGGTAAGAAATTAATTAATGTGCACAAAGAAAAAATATCTCGACTAGCATAAACATGGAGCTTTTTTTTCTCTACTTCCGTGGTGTACGTGAATGGGTTCAAAGTTCGGCCTGGGGTTAGAGGTTAGTCACGCGCCTCCACCGCTCACCGGGAGGTCAAAGAACACAGGAAATACAAAACCACGACTACACTGACTTTACCCTACTGGAATACGAACTAATTATTTCCATGAAAAACAAAAACACAGCGAACATCAAACTGAATCACAAGAAACAAATTGTGGTAAAACCCCAGTCATAATCTAAGTAACACATGAGTAATAGGTAAGTGAATGACGGACACACATTTAGACCGGCACGTGTGACGTGCGATAAACCACATACCCAAACAAGCCAGACGGTGATATTGATTTTAAAGTTTGCTTTACGCCGATATCAAGCTTAAAGACGGGGGGAGGAGAGGGGGTTAAGACGGTGTGTATAAAATGGCGGGAGTAAATAACTAATATAAATACACATTAACAAATTCTATAGTGGTTGTATGTGTATACAGTGTAACACATTGATATAAATATTGACAAACTAAGTAGTACCGTGACTACCGTGTATAGAAGTGTGGGGGCTATTACGTACAAATACACACTGACTATGCTCTACCTTAACTATGTGTGTAACGTGTCAGTAATAATAACATGACATGACCACACATTGACCAAGGTCTACAGCGAAAGAAAACAACATACATCAGCTGTAGACCTGATGTATGTTTTTTTTTCCGTGACCAATCCAATAAAACGACGTGACAACCCAATGGCCACGACACGATGCGTGAATGAATGACAACACGCCCTCCTGTATGATGACTGTTTGACCACATGACGTGATGTGTGATGAATGACCACACACGATGTGATGTGTGATGACTGACCACACGAAGTGATGTGTGATGACTGACCCCAACGATGACGTGTGCTCACGCAAGAGTGCTGTGAGCAAGATGTGACATGCCCAGGATAAACACAACCCTTGTGTCAACAAACCAAGGTCAATACTGGTGGCGTACAGAGATCAACAAGGCTCAAGGCCTCTCTAACAAGTACACCACATCAAGTAGTCTTCATCACACAAGGAAATAGATTAGGCGGTCGCAAATTTTCCCCATACAATAAGATCATCTCAAGTACAATGTCTTCTTATCGCTCAGACAGAAGGCGAACGCTATCTGAAGTAAGCGAACTGTGTCTAAAATTAGCCAGCAAATTACTTACGTTGTTAAACAATACCTTACATATAGCAAATTGAATAGAAGATGTTAAATCTAAAGTGATTAAAAGTACACTTGGAACGCGCGGCCTATGTAAAAGATATATCTTTTCTTACTCTGATTTCACAAACAAATGTCTTTTTCATATTGCACTGATTTCACCATATAAAGGGTTGGTATAGGCAACAAATTTGTCCGGCTTGAGTCGAGGTGGACACGGGGACAACCCACATACGCCAACTTGAATGGTTAGCAATTATGTGCTATAAGACTCGACCACATGGCCCCATTTAACACAACACTGACAACTGTCAACGCCGTTTAATAATGAGCCTAATCAAATGCAAGATCAATTCACTAACGTCAAAATCTAGTCACTTTCATTTCCTAAACACCGCAGATCCTATAAACTTAAACACCGATTTCACAGAACTGCTCACAACAAATCCAAAGATAAGTCTCAACACTACACGTTATATCCTAGTGTTCCTAGCCAAGGTACCGCAGCAACCTTCTCCAGAGAACACATCATGTGACAGCGACTAGACCATCACACATCATATCCTAGTGTTCCTAGCCAAGGTACCGCAGCAACCTTCTCCATAGAACAAACACATCATGTGACAGCGCCTAGACCATCACACATCATATCCTAATATTCCTAGCCAAGGTACCGCAGCAACCTTCTCCATAGCACACATCATGTGACAGCGCCTAGACCATCACACACCGCAGCAGATGCTCCGTGAATGTCAACAGTGTAATACGATCTGTCACATTTTCTGGAACACTTGTGTCAGCTGCCGCCAGTACCGGCAACCACCTTTTCCCCAACCCCGTGTGGCACCCGTCAGGTCAGTTTACCTCTATTTACCCGGCAATGGTGCCACTTTAGTGTGCGGTAACACACCATTAACT